ATAACACCTTGAGCCTTAGCGCCTGCTACGCATAGGGTACTACAGCTGCCAATTTCTCTGCCTCCCCACCAGAGCCTGAGCTTCCTCGGGCAAGCAGCTCCACATATCCCCTGGCCAGCACAGCACCTGCTACGCAGGGATGCTCAATGTGCGTGGCTTCAACTAATCACTAAGTGTGGTGGACTGGGGGAATGGGATTTGCTGAAAGGCTCTGAATCCAGCAGCGTCAACCTCTCTGAGCCTAGTTCAACCACACCTGTCTCCAGTCACGGTAAATTTACCTTTTGATTATTCTTTCTGTATTCATCAAATTCACTCCTCCTTACAACCTTTGCTTCTAACCATCAACACTTTGCAGAGAGCTGGTCCTTGAGGCCACAGACTACTCTGACATTACGTGGATTGCTTTTGTGTTCAGATTGCAGGTGAGAAGGCAGACACAGAGAGGCATAGTTTCTCCCAAGTTACACAGCCAATGAGAGGTTAAGCCAAAAGTTATGCTTCCCTTTGATTCAACAAAAAAGTTACAGGATTGGGAGGGGAGGGCAATAGCTCAGTGGTAGAGCATGGGCTTAGCAAGCAAGAAGTCCTGGGTTCAATCCCCAGGACCTCCATTAAAAATAAAATAAAATGCAATATAAAAAGTTCCAAGATTGTACTGGCAGATACAAACTACTATGTACAAAATAGATAAACAACAAGGTCCTACTGTATAGCAGTATATTCAATGGCTTGTAGTAACCTGTAATGAAAAAGAATAGAAAAAAGCATACATATAAAACTGAATCACTATGTTGTACATCAGAAACCAACAACACTGTAAATCAAAAAATTAAAAATAAATTTTTTTAAGTTACAGGATTGAACATAGAGCCACAGCTAATTTCACCAACAGTTTACTTATACCCTTTGGAGAGATAGAAAGTATAACACATTTGTCAAAGATGAATCTTATTATACCATATCAATGTGAAGCTTATAAAATATGTATTTATCTCTGAGTATAATATTAGAAACCAGCCACATAACTGTATTCACATTGTGCCTTTTCAAACTGGATCTACTCATCACCTCTACCAACTTTTCTGTAAAGCGGCCCAGCGCATTATCAGCCACACACATTTCAGAACCTGGAGAATGCTGAAGATGCCCTACACCTGTTTACCATCATCCCTTAATGCCTGTCAGGGGAACAACACCTGCATGAATTTCCACTCCTGATAGCATAAAACCGAGTTCAACTCAGTTTCACATGCAACATGTGTGTGGTTGCAGTTTGTATCAAACGTGTAACTACAGGGTAAGCAAAAGAGCACTAAAAACCAACTGTAGTGCAAGACTTCACAAATTCATGGAGCTAAGCCTCTTCGTGTTTATCAGTCACAATCTGGATATCCTCTGGCCCCAACAAAGTGTATCCTGATCTGGGATTTTTCTCTCCTGTCTCCCGGATACAGTTAAGTTCCTAATGAGCATCTCATCGGATGGCGATCTTTGGCAAACGCCCTGAAGCAGCAGGACAAGGAGAACACAGCTAGGCAGCAGCCCACTACTTCTCATATCGCCAATGGAATAATAGCACCAGAGCTGCTCCTATTGAAATCGGCAGAATTTGAGTCATTCAAGATAAAAACAACTTTTAAAAAGTATATAAACCCTCTACTTAAGGTGAAGTAAGCCTTCCAGTCTTGTTAGATGCTTTACAGATCACAGCAGACAACGCACCTCAACCAGGGGAAATTGTGCAAGAAAACCGAAGTACACAATAGCAAATTACAGGCTCAGTATTGCCAGGCATAAAACAGGAATCAATCCTTTACAGGAATCTTGCCTTTGCTTCCTTTTTTCTTTCCTTAAGCCTTGTAATTGAATGTTACCAACTATATCAAGAAGAATAAACCTACGGGTTTCCCCTCCCCCAAACAAGAAAAGGTTAAGCTTTTAATTACAGACCCTCTAACTATCATTTTGTGCAATTAGCAATTAACTATAACCGTTGATGAGAGCGTGTAGAGCTGCGCTAGCGATATTCCTCCTCCTCATCCCAGTCTGGGTTATTTTAGTCCCGTCCTATTACAGAGGACAAACCACAACCGCGCGCACTCTCCTTCCACACACGCTTTCACTTAAAGGCACATTTAATTTTTAGCAAAATGGCATCTCAGCATGTGACTGAGCCAGGCATCCCCCACCCCACATCAGAGTAGCCCAAACGTTTTAGACCCACTCCTCTTCATCACTTTTAGGTGGAGAGAGGAGGCCCGAGGAAGAAGCTACCTACCAGCCTCATAGTGCCAGCCTCTCTTTGGGGCGCAGAAGAGGGTGCTAGAGAGATGCCTGTTGCCCCTGGAAGCTGCAAGTCCCCCCGGGGCCGTAAGCCCCGCTAGTGGGAAGGCGGTGGCAACAGCCTCAGTAGTTGCATCAGTGCTAACTGCTGCTGCTGCTGCATTTACTGTTGGCGGCTGCCGGGAAGGTACAGTAATGACTGTAGGGAGCGCACAGCTGCTGCGGCGGCAGGTTCCCTGGATCAGGAAATTAGGGCAGGCACCGGGGATTGGAGGCGAGGGCGGCGCGCGAGCCAACCAGCGGCCGCCCCGGGCCCCCGTGAGCCTCGGGCGGACGCGCGGAGCAGCTGGGCCCCAGGAGCAGAGCGGGTGGCAGCAGCGGCCACGGTCACGGCCACTCACGCTCGCACTCGCACACGCACTCACACACCCCCGGCGCGGGCACCCGGCTGCCCCTAGCTTATGAGAGGAGCGCGTCGAGGGGGAAGGAGGGCTGAAGCCGCCGCGCCCGCCCTCCCCCCCGC